TGCTTAAGCTTAAAGCTGCAACAAGATTAAAATACCAGAATACCACTGCTGTGGTTCTTTTTGCCGAATTTGGTAAGAAACCATCAATACTGAATGCAGTTTATTAAACTGGTCAAGTTTTTTCCAGATGCAACATCCAAGACAAACACTGGTAGTAACGGGGTTTCTTTTTCTAAAAACTCTCCATTTGTCCCTAGAACAACCATGATTTCACAGAAATTGATCCACTTTTCAAATTAATGTACACTTTAGTGAATATGCAATTTCATTTGAAAGGAACTATTTAATTTTGAGTGTTGAATAAGACTGATTGAACAGAATCTGCTGAAAGGTCTTTTCCAGAAAACACTCTTAATAATCCACCAGCAAGCCCACACGCAGGTAGGAAAACATCTGTACTTGAGTTGTGACCACCAGGTTACTCAACACTACCATAGCAGAAAGATCTCTTGCACTCTCTCTCTCTCTTTGCTACTTTGCTATTTGCTTACAAAGCCCCTTGCTTTAAGCAACTCTCTGAAAAGAGCAGTAATTTTCCTTACAATAGAGCCAGATTAAGACAAAACTTGGTAATTCAATGCTTTTAAAATACCACTACTTTGAATTCATGCCCTTAATAAAATAAAGTGCACCAGGAACTGAAGGACTAATGCTTCTTAAAAACACAAAGCTGTAGTATATAACCTCAACAGAGATGGCATTTTTCATTTTTACTCTGCAGTGCTATGCTGGCTACTTTAAAATAATACTTGGAAGAAACTTTTAACATAGTAATCAATGGAGTGTAAGAATACAGAAATGTTACTTCCACTCTGACATTAAGCTGAGATAGACATTGTGACCTATCTGGTATAATTAATCTTCAAAAAGAAAAGAAGAACAAGAAAAATGCCAAACAATAAGAACTCACTGCACAACTTGAACTGTACCAGCAATACTGTGGCCTTTTCTCACCTTATTATATACATACTGAATTTTGTGTCATGTATTTCAGCTTCAAGTCAATGACAACGCCAAAGTGATGTTTTTTCTGGAAGTTGTACATGTGAGTCTCCTGGATACCAATACCACAGTGCCACCTCGAAAACACTGACACAGCACAGAAGTTGCTGACCAACCACTCTCCTCATACAGAACAGGAGATACCCAGCACGGATATTCAGTACCACAGAACCACCTAATTATCACTGTTTGCCTGGAGCTGGAGAGAGCATTTTGCTTAAGTATTATGAGCACATTCCATGTTTAAAAGCCTTTCAAAGGACAACTCTGACTGACACTTAAAGGTTTGGCAGAGTACTGGAACCTATTCTAGCAGTGTTTTCAACCAACACCTTCAATATTTGCATGCACGAGTCTAAACAAGTATTTCAAAACTCTTCTTTCCATTTACAGTGATCACAGGTGAGAACTGGCACCATGACATCACCACGCATTCAACTTCTGCAAAAGGGTTCTCAATCTCTCACAAAAACAAGACAGTCAATATGTCTTTGGACAGTATTTTAGTCTCTTTGGATAGTATTTTACTATGCCCATACAGAAATAAGCTTAGATAAAATTTGTATTATATAGAAAATCGAGAGTTCCAATGTGGAAAAAAGAAAGATAATAATAGAAAACTTTGCCAGAGATTTGAAAATAAATCCCTAATATCAGTTTACTGCACTAGGTAGCACCAAAATTTTTCAGTTTGGCTTTATTTTTCTGTTTGAGTAAAGACAGTAACAGGGTCAGGAAAAGATACTGCAAAACCACAAGTAACAGATACTTCTGCCACATACCTTGCATTCAAAAGTAGTCCAAAGGGTGCTTATGATAATATTTCAGGCTTTGTATGAACAATTTCAGTTTCACACTCCATTTGTCACCTGCCTTTTAACCATACCATGTAACAAAAATAACTTCCACTGCAAACACCTTTAGTTACACTTTACTTGCACTTATGCGTGCGCACACAGGCGCTGCACCTACTTCAGCTCACAGCAGTGGGAACAGCTGCATCATAGATGCTCCCAGAGCAGAATGTGTCATAGCATAGTTGAGTTGGATGACTAAGCACACATGATAGTATCATTTGATGTTACCCAAAATTTACTAGATTTTATCATTTTCTCAATGACTTGATCATCACTAAAATACCTTTGGTGTCAAAAAAGTAAATCAAAGGCTTTTGCCTATGTTGGTGATTTTGCTGAAACACTGAAGCTGTGAAAGTAGGGATTTGAAAATCACCCCAGCTGAAGACAAAGCACTTTGAAAAATAATTCAACTGAACATCTTAGGTTTCCCATTCATTATGTACTGCAGTACATGCCGATGTAACTCTTGCCCTAATCAAGAATATTTTTGTAGGTCATGCTTTGAGGTTACTTATGCTGTTTACAGACATACAAAAAAAATTATCACAGGTTTGAAATCAGGAGAAAGCCTCTACAGACCAGTGCAACCAAAAACTCCATTTAAGCCCTACATAATTCTTGAGAGGGGACAGAGGAATTACTGACGGATAACCCAAAGAATCACATCAATGTATTCTCCTGGATGACTTCAAAAGAGTCATTTGCCATTAGGATTACCTTTACTCTGCAACTCAACTGAGAGACACCAGCACAGATAACACCAAAGCTGGGTGAAAGTCAGATATGCTTTCACAACACCTAGTCTTCCTCAAGATGAAAAATCATGGAAAGAAAAAAGAGCCTCAATGAGATTCAGTATACATGAATGAACACAGGTCTCACAATACCTTCATTACAGTCACCCGCAGTCATTATCTGTAAAGGTTATGAAGAAAGATGAAAAAAATACATCGTAAAAGTAAAGGATGATTTCATAATAAGAATGCATCACACTTATCCAGCTACCTGTGTTTAAACCAAAAGATTCAAGATTAAAGGCAGGCTTAAATGCTAGTTTTATTATTCTTTACTACTGTGCGCAAAATTTGGTATGGTAATTTTACAGACAAACTGAGACAATCTATATATACATTAATTCAGGTTGTTATGGCACTCTTCAGATTGCTGCTGTCAACAGACACCATTCACAAGGCATGAAAAAGTGCAAGCTTTTACAAATATTGTGAAATGCTTTATTTTTAAGAATCCTGTTCCTCTCTCTACAAAGAGGAAATGAATTTAACATTTCTTCTTTTCACATGAAGTATGTTCACTGCAAATATACTTAAGGAGGGGCAGAAGAAAGTATTGCTTTTCTCACAGATCTAGAAAATAAAATTAAAGTTACCAGAACAGTGACTGACCTTTGACTATGCAAGCTTTACCTGTAAGTTTTAAGAGTTCTGTTCTACTAAGTCCTCTCGAAACATCAGTGATCAGGTGGACCTGCTATGGAACATATGCCCATGAAGAAATACTACTCAATTTTGTCACAGTAAACACCAGCACTAAAAATAACAAACACATCAGCTGCACACGTTAACCTGACCACTCTCAGTATTTATTTAGAATTGAAGAATAACATCTTCAAACCTGTTAGCATTGAGACCTTCCATGACTGTTTTATGCATGTTTACCTGAATACTGTGTCTAACTTAAGTTTTTCCATTACTTTCCAAGTGTGGTGTTTCTGAGCCATTCCATTTTTTTGGACACAGAGAATCTCCACCAAACCCTGAATTACAAATACTCCCAAGCCATCTAAGCAATTGTCTTTCCTCTCCTTGTTTTCTCCTTGCCAAAGCCAGGGAAACAACGGCCAATATCATGTTACAAGTTATGTTTGAACAAGGGGAAAAGCACAACTGCATAGTCCTACACTAACACTAAACAGTGTAAATAAGAGCTGCATCCATCCACCATATCCACTTACATAAAAAAAATCAACTAAAATGAAACTCGAGTTAATCTTCCTCAGAGCCAATAGAAGCAGTCGATAAGATCTCCAACCCGACCTGAAGCCAAGACTCTGGACAGAGCTTAGCCAAGGCCTCGCTACCTTTGGGGGCCTTTTATTTCTAGAGCCAAGGAGCAGCAGCAGCATCGCGCTGCAGTCACGTCCAAGGGGCAGTGGCAGCGTTTACCTGTGAATCCATTAGGTTTTTATTAATGAATTAATTTTTACGCAGCAAGAGCATCATCAGTAGCCCAGCAGACACCACAGTCCCTGCTGAGGGGACACCCGCACGGGATCCCCGGGCAGTCCGCCCGCCTCGCTCCGCAAAGGGCTCCAAAAACAAAGACCAAAGTTTTCCCTGCTCGGTGCGTGGGAGTGCGGTAGCGAAACAGGAGCCAGGATCAACACGAGTCGCCTTCCGTCACCACACCCGGGCCCACGCAGGGCAAGACACCCCCTGCTCCCTGGGGCAGCCCGTCTGTGTCCCCCGGGACGGCTACAGCCCGCTCCTACACGGGAAGGGGGGGACACCCACAGCCCGGCGGCATGGGGGGAGCTGAGGGGTTTCACCCGAGCCTCCCTCACTGACCCCCGGCAGCGGGGCGGCCCTTCCCGCCCCCGGATTCACCTCCCACACCTGTCCCTCACCACCGCCCCCCCTCACCGTGCTGCGCTGGGGGCTCGGCTCCGGCTGCGGCTCCGGCGGCTGCATTCCCGCCCCCCGGCTCTGCCCCGGGCCCCGCTGCGGGGGCCCCCCCGCTCCTCCTGAGGAAGGGGAGAGGGAGAGGCGCGTGCCCCGGCGGGCGCGGGGAGCGGAGGCTGGAGCAGGGACAGGGGTCCGGGGCAGAGCGCGGCCGGGAAGCGCTTCCGGGCTCAGTGCGGGGCGCTGGGGCCGCCGGGCGGGGCGGGGCCCCGGCTGCGCCCAACGGCATCCGACATGGCGCGGCCCGCGCGCGCCGGACGGCACGGCTCTCGCGAGACTTGGCGGAGCCAGCAGCGGAGCGGGGGGAGTGGGGGCGCGAAGGCGCGCGGCAATGAGCGGGGGAAGGCGGTCCGGGGGCGGGGCCGGGAGCGGGAGCAGCCCCGGGTGGGGCGGGGCCAGCCCCGAGGGGCGGAGCCAGGCGGTGTGAGGGGCTCCGGGCTGGGGGTGCTCTCGTGTCTCTCCTCCGCCCCGGCACTGCGGGGGATACTCGGCGCCTATTAAACCGAGCTTACCCCGAGCCGGGGAAGGATACAGTGCTGCGTGCTAGAGGCGATGGAGGTTCCTCCTCCCGGGCTTCCCCCTCTAGAGAAGTCTGGGCGTGGTTGGGCAGTGACTGGAACCGAGGTGTTACTTCCTGAACGTAGACAGCAGTGATAAGGTGCGTGGACACAGTGGCTACGGCACAGTTCACAGAGTCACAGAATGTGTCAGGTTGGACCACAGTGGGTCATCTGGCCCAGCCTCTCTGCTCATGCAGCTCCATCCCAGAGCACATGGCACGGGACTGTGTCCAGACGGTGCTGGAATGTCCCCCGTGAGGGGGATCCATGCCCTCTGTTCCAGTGCCTGTTCTTACATAGCGCCGGATAGCTATGAGCAGAAAAACACTGGTGTGCTCTGCTCCTACCCAGATGTCTTGTGATCGTGTGCCAGTTCAAGTAATAATTTTGTCCCTCTGCTTGCAGGACAGACTTGGGGATGTTATGATTAATATGGATTGATCCAATGTGAACTTTTAATTGACATCTCCGGAGGCTGAAACCTTCCTGTTGAGGCAGATCCTTGCAGATGGTTTAGTGGGTGTACACTGATTTTTTCATCCACAGGGCCTTGAGATTACATTTGGTTTGTGTGCCAGCACAAGCCGGTCTAAAGCATCTTTTCCCAAATCATAAAGACCATGATTTGCGTTTTTCAGGATTTGTGTGTGAGTTTTTAGATATTTTTCTTTGTTTTGACAGCATCTGTCTTGTGTGAATTTTTTTTCTTTTTTACTTATCACAGTTTCAGAGACACAGAAACACCATTGCACTGATACCAATGAGAGCATCTGCAGAGCTCTGTAACCACCTTCTGTCTCTCTCTAGCAGAGAATTGGAAGTGCAGGAGGGACGTGTGTCTTGTATTGCCATTACTGACTCTCCACGTCATCTTCCGTGTGCAGAGGCCTTGGCTCCTGTGTCAGAGGTTGTGTGAAGTTAATTAAGGAATTCCTGTATTCTATTCCCTACATCGGAAACACACCAAGCCTGACTAACATTTCTGGAGGGGCAAGATGCAAAACTAGAAGTAAACAGGATCTCGGTGCAACAATACTTTTATCTAAAAGAGATTGATTCTTATTCTCTGATTAGAATTATTATCAAGAAGTTGAAGTGCATATTCCCCAGCAAAAATCTGTAATTCCCAAATATAAATGAGTGCTGTTAATGCCAATGAATGCCTCCCATAGCTGTATCTGGTCTCACTTAAAAGGTAAGAAACAGCCCTGTTGATGTTGTGCACGTGACAGTCTCTGTGCCCTGGCTTACACGTGCTGGCCCTGGCTTCTGCAGCATTATTTGTGTTGTCCAGCTACTGTCTTAATTCATCCTGTCATTGTTGTTTCCAGATTTTTCAAACCAACATCTGACTCACTTTGTCATTGCCTCTCTGTAAACTCCTTGCACTACAGCTCCAGTGTGTCCTGGCAAACTACTGTTGCTTCATACAAATGGGCTCCATGGCTCCATTTCTTTTCAGAAGCAACCAGTGCTTTGTTTTTGTTTGAAATTATGTTTTTCCTCTGCAATTCTCTACAATGGACTAATGGAGGACTATAATCCAGCAATTGCCTGACTTTTATCCCACTTTCAAAGCAGGAGTGTTCCAACAGAAATTGCAGACACTCAGAATTTTTCATCTGCCCTTAGCTAGTTGTAGGCTTGAGAGCAGGATTGTGAGACTGGGAAATTAATCGGTCTTGAAACTTCACAATTAATCATAGCACAGCCAGGGCTGTGCTCAAGAATTTAAGAAAAAAATCCTTATGGGTATTAGGTGCCTGATTACCCCAGAAATCAAAGATTGTGTATGTTCTAACTTTGCTGAACACATCTCTGGAAGCAGTTAATTTTATCGCTGATCCAGCTTTTCTGTCTCTTAGCCATATGACAACTACAAAAATTGATTATTCGGAAAAGTAATATTAGGAAAATGCTTAATGCATTTTTAGCTGCTTCTAATGGGATTTAGCAGCTGGAAACAAGAAGACCTGGCACTGAGTAATCATGGCTGTTCTTAGACAGCTGTGTGGGAACCAAAGTATCAGGACTCTGAAATAAATCACCTTTTTTTTTCTGTATTTTAAAAAATGCAATATATGCAATTAAGAATTTTTAAGCTAGACCTCTATACTTGCAGCTCAGACAGTTAAAGTCAAGTGGAATTCATCATTAAATCCAGTCTTGTAATAACTTTTAGATGAAAATGCCCCTGGGTTATGTATGATTTTTTATTTTTTTTATTTAATGCTTATGGCAGTTACTATCTTTGAAAGGCCTCAGGTTTGAATTTAAATTCTATACTACATTAATTTTTAAGCAGAACAAAAATGTAGTTATTTCTGCTCCCCTTTTCTCTTTATGAGCAACAATCCAATAGACCCATTTTCCTGTTTTGGAAGAAAGCAATTTTATGCATGTTGGTGCCTAGGAATTGCAGTCAGAAAAGCATTTTGGTAAAATGACTCTTCCATAGGTTTTCTGTCTGAATAGCTCCTATACTCACTTAGTTCCATTTACAAATCAAAAGTATGATTTTTCTGATGCAAACACCATAAGCTGAGTTTTGAATCTAAAAAGTCAGACTGAGTTCTTTCCTCTGATACACCATTACACGTTTTGTCACTGAAATGCACCAAACAAGTTTATTTGGTGATGCTTAAGGGGGAATGCAGTCCCACTGTGTGGGAATGGAATGCATGTATTTGTCAGAATTTTATCAAAAAAATAACCTCTATTTTTTGGTTCTAAAGTACTTCAGGTATTTAACACTATCATGAAAAGAGCCAGGAATGCATGCCTAGAGTAAGAAGGTACCATTTTTTTCATACTATTTTCCTTATGGAAGGAAATTACTTTGGGATGAAATCTAAGCAGTCATCTACCTGTCTGTGGTAGTGCTTTGTGTTAGTGTCAGATCCTGCTGACCCCTGTGGTAGTCTGTGTTCAAGAAATTGCAGAATTCAGGGTCTAAAGAGGATTATATAGGTGGAATCCTATGGAACTGGAGCTCACAGTCAAGAATATCCTTTCTATGATAATTTTGATTCTGCCTGCATATTCTTTTACAAGTCCTGTGCCATTGGTTTGTAAGTCTGCCTCACTTCTCATTACATATTTCATTACATTTAAGGAATGTATCCTTGGCCTTTCCTCACCTTAATGTGAATTCTATGCCGTAAAAACAATTTCTAGAGTACAATTCATCTACTAGATTTCAAATTTAATCACAACTTTTTGGAATTATGCGTCATCCATTGTACTTTTTCTTCTGCTAAAGCTGTTTGCAAAGCTGTTTTAAAGCTGTTTAGACTCTGCTAGATACCCACGTTGTTTTTTGGTTTTTTTTCATTTCAAAGTGGTGTCAGTCACGTCACTGAGGTAGCAGTAGAAAATGTTTGTTTTAACATTTGATCATGGATCAAGAAATTGAGCTCAAAATTGAGATATTTTGGAACTTACTAGTAAACACAGCAATAGTGAAGCTGAGAAGTCAAAATAAACCTCTGAGAAAATGGAAAATATTCCCAAGAGCAGTCAAAAATGTTAATGCTTTATCTTAAGGTGGAATCTTTTGCTGCCTTATGAAGTGCAGATCTAAATAACTGCATAGTGTTATACCCTCAAAAGGGTCACTTTATGCAGTTTGGGGAACCTGTTGGTATATATTTAAGTGTGCACATGTGTCCAGGAAAGGATCAGACATTATCTCTCACTATTCCCTTTTTCCTTTACTCCACTTCAGATACACAACACATGTGGTCACATGTGTTTTTGTACCAGAAGATTTTCAAGGTATGACTTTGTACTCTGAAGTTCTGTGAGTGACTCCAGCAGCAGGGACAGAACTCTCCTTCTCTTTGGGAGTGGTCTTCTGACCTGGAGAACAAGGCAGACACTGGGAAGAAGTGTAGAGCTGCTCCCCCAGTGTGGCATTCCCTGCCTCTTTGTTGGCTTGCAGTCATCACTTTTATTTTGCAATTTCCATAATTAAGTTTGCTGCTTTACAGATTAGAGTGTGGCTTGGATGAACTAGACTTTTTGAAGAACAGATTCTTCAAAAGCTTGCTTAAAAACCTACAAAAATTTCAAGTACTCCTTTGCAGAATCTCCTTAACATCTGCGGTCCTGGCATAGTTGCTGTCCTTAAGCTGTTAAGTTGGTGCTGAAAGACTGATAAATTAAATAATTCATAACATATAAGGGATTGGGGCATAGGTGTTTTCTCAGTGTTGGAATGGGATCTGTAGTGTGAGGAAAGTGAAAAGACATCCTTGTGTGTATGTCTTTATAAGCATGAATTTTTGTTGTTAGGATTCAAAGGCTTTAGTAATAATTCAAATGGAATTTGTGATTTATTTTTTTTTCCTGAAGTGACATGAACACTGTGTTTCTCTTTTGGATGATATATATAAATATAATTGATTTCCTTAGTAGTGTTTTTCATCACTGTTAATTTTGGTGCTCTGCTTAAATTAAGGTCCTGAATACCTAGAGTTCCCCTGTGGTAGCAGAAATTGAAATGAATGATGTCATTTGCTCCTTCTGTGCCAGTGCTATTGTGTGGGACTACTGTATTCTATAAAATGAGCTTCCGTTTTTATCTTAGGTGTGGCTGTCCTTCCGCAGTGCACACAATGCCCCTGGCTTAAGTCCATTGTGCCATTTATGTGTTACATAGATGCACCTAGATTGGGGAGTCTGATGTGTAAAATTGCTTTTAAGGATTTTTAAATTCTCGGGAATAAAAGAAACGCATCTGTAAATTACCATGATAGAAGACTCTGTGTGCATTCCTTAATTTAGAATGATTTGGTGGTTTGCAGTTCCCTCAGGATGAGTAACATTTTTGCCTCAATTCCTGTAATCAGATCTAATAGCATTAGGGTGTTTTTTCCAGTTCCCAGATTTTTCACTGAAGTGTGACATTTGAAAAGGAGATAGTGCTTTTGAGTTGTACTGACTGCTTGTCCAAACTCATCATCACATACTGTCAGTGGCCTAGCTCTTGCTCAGTGCCAGCTGATCCTGAACAGGAACAGGGGCAGATAGCTGATCACCACATCACATCAAATATGGTTGCTAGTGTAAGCAATCAGAGTGATTGCGGCAGAAAAACCCAGTCTGTAGAAATGAAATACTCATCCTTATGGGAATGCAAGAGAGGTCTGCGGGACATATAGAAAGCATTACTGCCTAAGGATCAAATGTTCTTTACACTCTTTCTTGCTTTCCTACTCTTTTTTTGGGCAAAAGAGATACAAGGGGTGTTACAGCCCTGTGAGTTGCTCCAGAGGGAAGGAACAGTGTGTTTTGACTGTGAAACAAATACTTCATTTTAGTCTCTGTTGTTATATTCCTGGAAAGATGCACATGTGTAACAAAAAAATGATTTTCAAACCACTCTCTGTAATACCTCACTAAGGCGCAAACCTGCTGCAGGATATGAGTGAAAACCAGCTACTAACACAAGATTTGGGCAAGGTTCTTATTTATTATATAAAATACAATATATTTAATTCTGTGATTGTTTTGATTATATTTTATAGCCTGCTATGGAAAGTTTCATTTCAGCCATGCTGAAATATTTTGGGCCAGCAGTAAGAGCATAAGTTGTGTGTAAAACACTTTCACCATCAGTTTATTAGTCTATTATCTTTGCAGTATCTTTACTCAGTAAGTGATGGGGCATAACCACACCAAGTTTAATCCAGCCAGCATGCAGTTTGACAATCATATAAATACAGTGGGCTCACAAACTTTACATGTATATATATGCAGGATTTCCTGTGGGTTTGTAGTGTCAGTGATGAAGTGTGTGCTGGTGAGTCTGTATTACTTCTGTTTCTACCTAGGTGAAAGTTAATGTGAGTGTGCCAATACAACAGAACCAGCTCTTGTGGCAGAAGCATCTGCAGAGAGGCTGCAGTGGTGTCATAGTACAGGCTGGGTTAGTAGCCAGAGATTAATGTAATTTATGACCTACATGTGTTCCTAAATAGTAATGGAGAATTTTGCCTCAAATTACTGGGAAAAACATGTAACTTCTTGGACCTTGAAAAGGAAGCTTTAAGGTAGGGCCCTATGATGAAATGTTTAAAAGTGTCTTGACTATTGATTTGCAGTTTATGACATCTTGCAATACTGCAGAACAGCCTGCAGCCAGAGCAGTTCTATAACTCAGCAGCACCACTTTTGGAGGAAGATTGGGGT